GACCATTGACGAGAACAAATTGAAAGTGGCGGAGAACTTCACCTACCTTGGGAGCTCCACCAACAACAAAGGACAGATGGACAATGAGCTAGACTGTAGACTTGGAAAGGCCTCAGCAGCCTTCAACCAGCTTGACTTTGAAACCTACTATGTGGAAATCAGCCAAGAAAAGAGAAAAGAGACTGGAATCACTGCATGCTTCTGATAGTGAATGCGTGAGGAAGATCTTAAGCATCAGACGACAGGACTTCATACCCAACACAGATATATCAGCCAGAGCTAACCAACAGCCAGTGTCTACAATCATACGCAAGCGGCGTTTCATGCAAGAAGACGCCTGCCATCTAGACTTAGGTAAACTTGTCTTTCAATATTGAACAGGTTTTGGGTCAGATAAACTATACCAAGGCATGTGCGTTTGCATGGAACATGGGTCGGAATTAGGACCCCTCCTTGCTGGCAGCCAGGTGCGTCAATAACAGACAAGGCCCAAATTTGCATATGTAGCAAAAAATAATGGTTCTATCTTTACTGAAATGGCTTAATTTTATTCGTTATCCCTAAAACATGGGGATAGACACCAAAATTATTCTGATACCATGAGTAGTTACTGAGATATTGACGAAAAACAGATTTTCAGTAATGGCCGCCCTAATTTGCATATTGCCACCCAAATTTGCATATTTAGCAAAAAATAATGGTTCTATCTTTACTGAAATGGCTTGATTTAATTCGTTATCCCTCAAAAGATGGGGATAGACACCAAAATTATTCTGATACCATGAGTAGTTACTGAGATATTGACGAAAACTGGATTTTCAGTAATGGCCACCTTAATTTGCATATTGTGCGAATTGCCCAAGGATGACAGAGTGGCATCATTCAGATTCTGAAAGAGCACACCTCAGAGATATAGAAACAACAAAAAAACTTTGTATGGACCGCATTGCAAGGTTCTTCAAAAATCGGGGGTTTGGCAACCGGACTAACACAGAAAATATCAAATTTTCTGAAACCAGAAGGCTCACAAAGGGGATTTCAAATGTGTTACTGTATAAATCATTACATCTAACTGCAAACACCTGAACACACTCTACTAACTACCTCAGGGACTTGGGGAGGGGGGGACAGAGTGTCATGAATGTGTATGTTCAGATGGATGGCAATGGTATAATCCTGTCATAACAGGGTAATTTGTACCCTCCATGTGTTCAGGGAAATCGTTCTAATCTGTATGTACACAATTATCCTGGTGGTACCTGGGGACCAGACATATGCTCATGTTTGATTGTGTATCAACCATGCAGTTTTGATAAACTAGGCAACTGCAAGTTTATACATGATGTAAGGTGCTTGTTCATGAC